TGACGTCACTCACTCCCATGTCCCACACTAGCAGTCCCCCATCTCCTGAGGCCGACCTGGGCCTGCACAGCTCCCTGGCCTCCTGCATGCTCTGGACTCCCTTTCCCTTCCAGCCACAGGGCAGAGGCGGCCGTCTCCACAGCTGTGTCCCCGGGTCACTGCTTCCCTTAGCGTTCAACTCCAGAACTTCAACCTCCCATCTCTGATGCCAAAGTACCAGGTGCACCCAGGGAACGCACCGCACCCCACAGCAGTCACGAGCGCCACCTGGTGGTGGGTGCCCAGGCCTCGTGCCAGCTCAGCAGGATCCTTGCACAGGACTCCAGGTTGGCCCTTTCCCTGAAACAGCTCCGGCCGGCCTTCTTTCTGCCCCAGCACGCGTGACGTCTTCTCACTGCACTTCTCATCTTTCTCCCCTCGCATCTGACTTGTATGTGTCACCCAGGACTTCCAGGGCTCGTGCCCGATTCACCTCGCAACTCACCCTCCTTGAGCGCACAGCATGTCTGCTGCTCCAAGCCCAGCCGTGGCCCACAGCACTCACAGTCGTGAGGGACACTGACTCGTGGCCTGCCTCTGCCTCCAACACCACGCAGTGGGTTTACTGAGGCCGCCGGGGTCACAGCGTGACCCTGAGTTCCCACGTGAAAATGCCTCCCACACCCTGCCTCCCATTGCCACGCACAGCAGCCCTCTGCTCGGCCCGGAAGGAAATGACAGACAGTTCTGGGTGACACACTCCTGAACCGAACCTCCCAGACCAGACACCGAGACACCGGGGCGAGGAGACAGGCCAGTCACCGGCCCCCAGGTGACGATGCAAGGGCACCAGCCTGGGCACAAACACGCTGAGCAGACAGGGCTCGGCTTACATCCCTCTCCACTGAGCCCCCAGCGGCAGAGGGAGTGACCTCGGCGTTAGCCGCAGTTGTTAACTTCCATGTTTAAAACAGAACAACACAGCCAGGCCTGCCCACGACAGGAGGCACCTCGGGGACTGCCTTCTGTCAGCGTTTCCCCAGTCGTGGATACGGCATCAACTATCTGATTATTGGCCTCCTTTTCAACTTTTTAAAAAAGATTTATTTTATTTTTATTGGAAAGTCAGATATACAGAGAGGAGGAGAGACATAGAGGAAGATCTTCCTTCCAATGATTCACTTGCCAAGTGGCCACAACAGCCAGTGCTGAACCGATCCGAAGCCAGGAGCCTGGAGCCTCTCCCAGGTCTCCTAAACAGGTGCAGGTTCCCAACACTTTGGGCCAGCCTCAACTGCTTTCCCAGGCCACAAGCAGGGAGCTAGATGGGAAGCAAGGCCGCCAGGATTAGAACTGGCGCCCCAAAGGGTTCCTGGCCTGTGCAAGGTGAGGACTTCAACTGCTAGGCTACCACATCAGGCCCTTAGCCTCCTTTTAAGGGAGTCCTTTTGTTAAGGGATGATGCAATCTTCACCCAGACTGTTATGTTTACGGTGATTTTTATGCAAGCGGTGAATCAGAGTGGTCACACTGCAACAGAGGTTGTCACATGAGGTGACAGATTCATTTGCAAGTGCCGAGACAGTTGTAACTCCGGAGCTCATGCATCATTACGTTTCTGTTCACGTTACAAGAACTCTACCAGAGGATTCTCCAATCTCCTTCCCGAGGCTCCAGTGACATGGCTGCAGGGCGCGGCGACAACACATCTGTGCACAGTTCCATCTAAAGTTCTCATGTCCGGTGAGACATGAGGATTTCTGTTCAAACATCCCAAAAATCTGCTGAAGCTTTGAATCGGCCTCCCTCCACCCTCCCAGCCTCAGGACAGCCTCGGCCCCATTACACACACACGCCAGGACAGCCTCGGCCCCGTCTCACACACACACACACACACACACACACACACACTGGGCTCTGACGCTCCATGTGCCCTCCCTGGGAGAATCATCTGCCCCACCCACTGCCCCCTGTACACTGCTTGTCAATGTGCCTACAGTGCCTAGCTGGCAAGGCAGCACCACGGCGCCCAGGGAGGGCTCCTGCTGTGACACACAGAGGCCACAGAGCCCTCAGGACAGGACAGCATGCTGGGCCCCAGGACACGAGCTCTGAGGTGGCTCAGGCTCAACTTGGATTATCTCTCTGCCTCCTCCCTCCGTCTCTCCCTTCCTCCCCGTCTCCTTCCCTTCTTTCCCTCTCACTCAGGCAAGCACACACAGGCTACACAAAGGCTTATTCCATACCACAGTCCAGCATGGAAGGCCTGGTCCCTGAGCTCACGCTGCCCACCCTAACAACCACAGCTGGAGAAGAGCGCAGCCAGGAGAGAGAGCTGGACGCCAGGCAGCCCGTTGAATGTCCACTTTTCCATCTTCCTCAGGACAGAAACCTGAGTGTTTATTACAGAAATGATTCCAACCAGACAGAAACAGCCTCATTTCCGTCCTTGTCAGCTCTGTTGGTGCCCATGTTTGCCGGCTGATGGCTCAGATAAGAGACACGATGAGCTCAGCCCGCAGGCCCTGACTTCCACACCCCATGTCCTGCACAGTCACCTGCTGCTGGCGCCTGCTCAGCGCTCCCTGCCACAATGGCTGGCACGTGGCCTCCAAAGTGTCAGGAACGTACACACTGAGGCCCTGAAACATGCTTTTCAGTACAACTCCATCACTTCACAGTGTGTGCGATGCATAGTGCAAAGATGCCAGGGCAGATGAGGGGTCTCCCGAGCCAGAGCCCCTGCCCTCCTCTGCACACAGCCCCATTGCTGCCTCTGGCTGGCAGGACACATTGGCCCCACGCCATGGCTCCACCAGCTCCACTGGCTCATGGGAAGTGGGTGTCACACTCACGACTCATGTTCTCCATCTGAGGCCTGTTCACACTGGCGGGGCTGCCCCTGCCACCACTGGCCGGGTCTCAGAAGAGGCAGGTGCCCACAAGGGACACACAATGACCCCTCCCCGTGCCTCTCAGCCCCTCTGGGCCTGACACAGCCCAGAGTGGAGGAATCAGTGACTGAGGGCTGCCTCTGGTCCTGTGGTTATCCAAGCCTACTGCTGGGCTGTGCCCACTCCCCCAGGCAGGCAGGCCCTGCTGGCACCCTTCAGCTCTCCAGGCTGCGGAGTGCCCCATGCTCATTGGCACCGATTCCTCTCTGAGGAAATGCTTGCCCTCTGAGGGCTCTCAGTTCCTGGCCTCCCTGCCCGGCCTGATCCTCCAGCTTCCCCCATCCCACTGCCTACCGCACTCCTGCAGGGTCCCTGTGCACAGCATGGGATGACTCAGCTCCCACTCAAACGCACATACTGGACTACAGCGAATGCTAAAATGCCTTGTGCTGGGTTCTGTCCTCTGGGCTTTCGCAGTGGGGGGTCATGTCACATTCACGTCCCATCATGTCACAGCCACGTCATAGCAGGGGAGATGGGACAGCCAGCCCATGAAGCCTGATCCTCTCTCCCCGCTCTCTGCAGGAGTCCAGCACTGTCAGCACACAACACTCAGGATCCCCTACAAAGTCTGTGTCTGCTGAACATCTAGGATCAGCAGTCAGAGTCACAAGCCGGGGCGGCGTCATTAAGACCACAGGCAGTGACGCGTGCTGTGTTAACACAAGAGTGCCAAGTTAGGGACAAAAGTGAAGTAGGAGTTGGCCATGCCCAGCACACTGTGGTGTCCCAGGACAGAGGTGCTGGAGACCGTGGGGACAGAGAGGGTCACAGGAAGGCAGTGTGGAGAGGAGGGAGGGGAGCTACCCCACAGCCTCCCCTCCCTGTCAGGGGTCTCCACTCCACAAGGAGGGAGACGGCCACCACAATGGCGACTCCCGGGTTCAGTGCCCCAAGACTCTATTCCACACCTACCCTTGAATGCATCTACTTGCATGTTATGGAATTGCCTATAGCTGGATGCATACTTAACCTGGGTTTATTTGTCACAGGAGAATGAAAAGACGCAGATCATTCTAAAAAGCGTGAGCTCTACTGTTTCCCTGAAGACCCTATCAGGCATTTCTGCTTAATAAAGTGTCATTTTTCATGCTCACTGACAACTCAGCTTCAAACCATGGATTGCGTCTCAGGACCAGGAGCACGCAGAGCCTGGGCAGAGCAGCCTGCATCAGCTGGAGGACTGCTGTTCCAGGGACTTCGGTGTGCCCACCCCTGGGGCCCACCTAGTGAACCTCAGGACAGGCAGCAGTTAAACCCAGACCTGCGCACCCGAGCACGGGGCAGGAGCTGTGAAACCCCACGTGCACAAGCAGGGAGCTACTCCCTTCCTCATGACCGTGCACACTGAGGACAGGCAGACCATCCGGAGAACAGTCCCCAGCAGGTGCCCCTGGGGTAGCAAACAGCAGCGGGCCTGGCAGCCCAACAGCACTGACCTAACGCATCACCTGACTCCTAAGAAAACAAGGTGTTTGTACTCTATGTGTATGCCATCAGCCACCTCTGTCAGCTTAAAATCACTGGCAACTGAATAGAAGAGATATTGATCTCTGTAAATTAGTAAGTGCCTCTAAAAATAACAGGTTCCACAGCAGTTAAGGAAAAGCAGTCAATCGTTCAGATTGGGGGTGGATGGCACGCCATTGGGCCCTGGTCACAGCTGACTGCAACCCAGGCATGCCATCCAGCCCTGGTCACAGCTGACTGCAGCCCCGGCACGCCATCGGACCCTGGTCACAGCTGACTGCAACCCTGGCACGCCACCGGGCCCTGGTCACAGCTGACTGCAGCCCTGTCATGCCTTCCGGCCCTGGTCACAGCTGACTGTAGCCCTGGCACGCCATCGGGCCCTGGTCACAGCTGACTGTAGCCCTGGCACGCCATCGGGCCCTGGTCACAGCTGACTGTAGCCCTGGCACACCATCGGGCCCTGGTCACAGCTGACTGCAGCCCTGGCATGCCATCGGGCCCTGGTCACAGCTGACTGCAGCCCTGGCATGCCATCGGGCCCTGGTCACAGCTGGCTCCGTGGGAAACGCGTAAAGCAGCAGACGCTGGCCCTACCTGTTGTTGATGTGCTGAGGAGACCCCAGGCACCTGAAGCTGCCGCCGACCATCACAGCCAGCCTGGTGCACAGAGCTTCACATTCCTCCATGCTGGGGAAGGGAAAGAAGAGCCAGTGAGTGCCCACCCAGCCAGGGCTGCAAGTCAAACCCCAGACAGATGCTCCCTGGGCAAGCCACAGGGTCCTTCCCATGCAACTTCACAACTTCAATACCATCCTCTCCCAGTCGTTGATTACAATTAGCCAACGCCTGTTAGCATTGCTGCATACCAGAGAGACCAGTTACAAATTAGAGAGGAGACAATCACTGGATAGTTATAAAAAAACACAAAATAGGAATCCTAATAAAAGAGCAGGCATTTTCTGGGAAGAAACATTAAGTTTTACTATTGTCACCTTGGAATACATGAAGTCTTGATTTAGTGAAAGAAAACATGAAATCATGCTTATTTTTTAAATTAAATTTCCATAATTTTAAAAATCAGTGAAGTAGTTCTGTGACATTAGTGCAAACATAAAACACAACATTAACATAAAATACAAGTGCGTTGGTTATATATGAAATAGCTCCAAGTTATGTTTTAATATAGTATTTGTAAAAAGCAACACTAAGATTGTTACTTTCATACTTAGTTATAATTTACAATTTAATATAATATAAAATGTAATAAAGAGTTGTAATATATAATTATATTGCTATAATTATATAAGTTGTAAATTATTCTATGGATGTAGTGTAATACTATTAAAAGCATAGTTAACTGACTCCATGAGAAAATACAAAGTAACTGGGAGAGTGAAGACTTACTCCCCCCAAATTAACATTTATTATGCAGCTGAAGTGCCGAACATGGGGCGGGGAGAATGCTGGAGAATCATAGCGGCTCAGCAGAGGGCTGTGCTTCCAGCCTGGGGTGGGGGCTCAGCAGAGGGCTGTGTCTCCAGCCTGGAGTGCGGGCTTAGCAGAGGGCTGTGCTTCCAGCCTGGGGTGTGGGCTCAGCAGTGGGCTGTGCCTCCAGCCTGGGATGCGGGCTCAGCAGTGGGTTGTGCTTCCAGCCTGGGGTGTGGGCTCAGGCCTCCAGCCTGGAGTGCGGGCTCAGCAGAGGGTTGTGCTTCCAGCCTGGGGTGTGGGCTCAGCAGTGGGTTGTGCTTCCAGCCTGGAGTGCGGGCTCAGCAGTGGGTTGTGCTTCCAGCCTGGGGTGTGGGCTCAGCAGTGGGCTGTGCTTCCAGCCTGGGGTGGGGGCTCAGGCCTCCAGCCTGGGATGCGGGCTCAGCAGTGGGCTGTGCCTCCAGCCTGGAGTGTGGGCTCAGCAGAGGGCTGTGCCTCCAGCCTGGGGTGTGGGCTCAACAGTGGGTTGTGCCTCCAGCCTGGGGTGGGGGCTCAGCAGAGGGCTGTACCTCCAGCCTGGGGTGTGGGCTCAGCAGAGGGCTGTGTGGTGCTTCCAGCCTGGGGTGTGGGCTCAGCAGAGGGCTGTGTGGTGCTTCCAGCCTGGGGTGCTGAGGGTAGGAACACTGTCTCCTGGCTTAGCAGTGACAGAAAACACAAGAGAGATGCCTGCTTGCTCTGGCAGAACTGCAAACTTGTACATGCCAGTGGGGCAGGGCCTTCAGCCCGGCAGTTCCCACCCCAGAGCCCCGCCAGAGCTCCTGTTCTGACATGCCTTCACTTGTGGTTCCAGGTTGCAACCAGAGAGCACCTGGGAGGCAGCAGGTGACCATCCCATGCTGGGGTTCTTTCTCAAGAGAGCTGACCAACCCCCAGCTCCCTACCTGCTGCTTGGCCCAGCTTGATACAGACACTAGAAGAGAGCCACCCTTCTCTCCTCCCTTCTCCCTCTCTCTCCCGGCTCCTCACATCCTCTCCTGCATGTTAACATTCAGATTGGAGCAGGGACTCGTGGTTGGCACAGTGGTCAGGAAGCCACCTGATGCCTGCACACCATTCCAAGGTAGCCGAGTTGGAGTCTCCTCTGGCCCCTGTGCCTGGTTCCCGTTGTCATATTCCAGTCTTGGCCATCACAGACATCTAGGGAGTGCCTTGCTTCCCTATCTCCTTCTTATCTAAATATTTTCCAAACACAGAAAACTAGCATTTAGAAACTTGAACGCACATAATGAGTAGGAGTTGCTGCATTTATGATGAAGAATTCACGTATTAGCAAAACAAGATCAATTCGGTAGAAAGAAAAGAGGCTGAACAACATGTAAATACCATGCAAGTACCTGTTTGTGGCTAAGAAACAGCAACAGGGTTCAACTCCAAAATTAGTTATCATGTGCGCTTTGCACATTGTAGGAAAAGGTACTCAGCTGCATCCTTATTCCACGTGCAAACAATGAGTTTTCAAGTCAGAAAATACTCAGAGTTAAAAGCACTTTCTCAGGAATTCTAAAAAAGCCATTTCACATGTTGGTGACAGGAGGAAAAGCTGACATAAATTCTGAAAGCCAACTCCCAGGAGCCAGCCTCGGAGAGCACTGAAAACATGGACAAATGCAACAAGCTGTTTGTTCGTAGTAAAAATCCGGTCACAGGCAAACTCAGGACAACCAAAACTCATGCGAAAGAATGCGTCCTCACGGCCAGCAGCCACTGAAACAAGGCTCCCCAGAGTGGACCATGCACTAGGAAGGGATAACGACACAGCACTAGTAAAACGATGCATGTTAACAAAATCATACGTGCTGTGACAGACATCCTTACGAACTGAGAAGCGAAATCAAGGGTGGGCTTCCTTCCTTCTCATTCTGTTCTCTACAAGAAACACCTGCTGCTTCCAAGGCTGGGGACCCATCATGAAACATCCTGCCCTTCGTGCAGCGATGTTCCCAGCAGGACTACAGGACTCGGCATCCTTCACAGGCGACCAGTGAAGCAGACTTTGTTTATCGTGTTGATCTGGGTGCTGTGCTTTCTGCTTCCCTGAGCTGAGGTCCAGAGTGCTGGAAAGCCAGCATCCACCATGATGAGGACACCACAGGGACAATGTGAGCAGGACCCAAGGACGTGGCCACCCTGATGAGCCCAGGACACAGGTGAGGGGAAGAAGGCCTTACTGAGCCACATCGCTGGCAAGGCATTTGTCATGGAATCTTAGCCTGAGGTCTAAGGATCAAGTGCCACACCTTCCAAGCACACGTTAGATCTCACTGTGAATGTGTCTGCTTCTTGAAAGGTCTTCATCTATCCTGCATGAGAGCAGGGTTCACACCTGTGCAATTCTGAAAATCCTAAACATTCTGAAAAAACAAACTTGGCAGAGGCATCAGTGGCCACTCACTGACGGAAGTCTCACAGACTGATCTCAGGCCACACAAACACAACATGGATAAACACTAAAAAACTAACAGACACCTCGGGGATAGCGGCATCAAACCCCAGAGCTTCCACGAGAACTTGAAATGTGCAGATTTCAATAAGAAAACTATCAAGGTGTGTAGGACACTTATAAAAATAAGAAAAATGTGAATTATATTCATAAGAAAATAGTTAATAGAAACTGTTTCTAAATGACTCTAGACACTAAATTCGGCAGAAAAAGATCAATGCAGCAATGATAAAGGTATTCAGAGAGCAGATCAAGATGGCTGAAGTGGGCATAAAGTAGACCTGTGGGTTCCTCGGGGTTCCGCTCAGAGATGCCATGAAAGCCTCGCTGTTTCACAGCCCGATACTTTGCTTGCAGCATATTCTACTTGAGCAAAGATCTCCACTGCTTCTTCAGGATTTATATTAACTAACTCACATGCCTTAGCCCTATGCAAGCAGGGTTGCTGTGTCCTGCTGCCCCTGGCCACAGGGCACTCTAACTGCTCATTGCTGCTCAGCCTCACTCAGGAAGCAGCCGGCAGCGGGGACAAGGCTCACCTGTGGGAGGTCAGCACTACCGCACAGCCTTCCCGCAGCTCTGTCTGTATTGTCTGCCACAGGTGACGCTTTGAGCAGGGATCCATCCCTGAGCTGGGCTCGTCCTGAAGGAAGAAAACAGACAATGTTGGCATTGGGAAACACACATGCAAATATGCACTCTCCAATGTGAGGCCAGACCCAGTGATAGAATGTCCTTGCTCCAGCTTCAACAGGTGCCTCTCCATCGGCTTCTGTGCACTCTGCTCAGCAAAGTGTGTGTGCACTGAGCACTCTGCCACCTTGACTTGGCACCAGCTTCTCCTGGGGTCCCCAGCAGAGGGCAAGGACAAGCATCTCACACCAGCAACAGGACCAACTGAGCAACTTCCGAGAAACATCCTAGGAAAGAACGTCCGAGGGCCGTGCACTGACACTCACAGCGGGCACGTCCGAGGGCCGTGCACGGACACACTCACAGCGGGAACGTCCGAGGGCCGTGCACTGACACTCACAGCGGGAACGTCCGAGGGCCGTGCACTGACACAGCGGGCACGTCCGAGGGCCGTGCACTGACACTCACAGCGGGCACGTCCGAGGGCTGTGCACTGACACTCACAGCGGGAACGTCCGAGGGCCGTGCACTGACACTCACAGCGGGCATGTCCGAGGGCCGTGCACTGACACTCACAGCGGGCACGTCCGAGGGCCGTGCACTGACACTCACAGTGGGAACGTCCGAGGGCCGTGCACTTGACACAGCGGGAACGTCCGAGGGCCGTGCACGGACACACTCACAGCGGGAAAGAACGTCCGAGGGCCGTGCCCTGACACTCACAGTGGGAACGTCCGAGGGGTGCACTGACACACTCACAGCGGGCACGTCCGAGGGCCGTGCACTGACACACTCACAGCGGGCACGTCCGAGGGCCGTGCACTGACACTCACAGCGGGAACGTCCGAGGGCCGTGCACTGACACACTCACAGCGGGAACGTCCGAGGGCCGTGCACTGACACACTCACAGCGGGAAAGAACGTCCGAGGGCCGTGCCCTGACACTCACAGTGGGAACGTCCGAGGGGTGCACTGACACTCACAGCGGGAACGTCCGAGGGCCCTGCACTGACACTCACAGCGGGAACGTCCGAGGGCCGTGCACTGACACTCACAGCAAAGGTGTGAGAGAGCTCTGGACTCTGGCTAAAGAGGACGTTATGCTAACAAGAACACCCAGTAAAGACAGGAAACAGCAATGAATGACTACAAGGAACACTGAAAAATTGGAATAATAACCTCAGCAAAGAAACACAGTCACATTCTTATAATTGAAACCAAAGAAGTGCTTGACACAGAATTCAGAATAATTATTTAAAGGAAGCTCAGTGAGCTACAAATAAGACTACCTAATCAGAAAAACACATTAACAGAAAGAGAGGTTCAAAAACTAAAGCATAATGAACCAAGTAGGAACTCTGGATCAAAAAAATACGATGAATGAAAATAAAAATGAAATAGAGTGTGACTAACTGACTTGATTGGGTAGATGAGAGAATCTCAAATCTCACACACAGGTTCCCTGAACTAACCAAGCCACAGACGGAAAGCAACGGGAAGAGATGAATGACAAAGCCTCTATAGATGCACTGGGATACCATTGATGGAACTAAAACTTGCACTGTGAGATTTATGAGAAGGAGATACAGCACGCTGTGGTCTCTACAATGGTTTGATGTTTGTTCTCCCAAAAGTTAATGTTGAAATGTGCCCGCAGTGCAGCAGCGTGGTGTGTACTCGGGGTCCGCATTGCATACAGAATCAGGGGCTCTCGGAAAAGGGTCTGGTGGAAGAATTGTCCCTCTTGGCCCTTCTGGCTTCTGCCAGGTGAGGACACAGCGCACCTTTAGTGGATGGCTACAGGGCCCAAGAAGCCCGTCTTGAAGCAGAGATGGGAGCCTGACCAGACACCTGACCTTGAGACCTCGCTCTTGGTTTTCTCAGCCCCTAGGCTGGGAGAGGCAGGCTCTCGCCCTTTATAAACCACCAGTGCTGAGACTTTCTGTATGTGCAGCTCAACAGCACACGTGGACTAAAGCTGGCACTACTGCATCGTGCCTTGGAAAGCTGCTAAGAGGGGAGGGCTCATTGTTCCATCAAACTTACAGGGAGAACATGACAACTATGTGAGGTGCTAAACAAGTCAATTGTGGCAATCAAAGACAACATGGATACCCAAAGTCACACTATGCACCACACAACATAGACGCAGTTTGTCAGTTACACCTGCAGAGGTGGAGAATCTGGGATCATTTTCACCTCGTTAGCTCACCTGTAGGATCTGGTTAGATAAGCCAATCTCTCTGCTTCCAAAACACACCTCAACCTCCTTACAATAAAGATGGCATCCCCCGGAAGGGCGTGCGACAGCAGAAAGCAGCATCACAAGTTTAGCAACATCAAAGAAACTAAAATTCCTTGGAACGTGAAGCTTACTCCGTCAGCAACCTCCAAAGGTGTCTCATCTGAACTGCTTTGGAGAGGAATCTTGCCAAACTAGGACACACCAAACACACTTAGCTCGAGGGCTTTGAATTGTCATCCACTCTCAACAAAAACAAGCAGAGGTGAGCTGGAGTGGAGCAGGGCAGGCAGGGGAGTCAGCAGACAGGAAAACAAACATGGTCCTCTCTGCCCACCAAGCTCGCACGAGAGCCAGTTACAAACACAAGCAAGAAACAGAGGTGGGTTTTCATTTTAAACTTCCCTGAGTCCCTCTCTGGGGGACCCAGCTCAGTTCTCTATGGACATCAAATCCCTTCCTCCCGACATTCTAAACGGTGACTACTGATGCTTGCTGTGGCTGCATCACGCGCCCGGCTCTGAGTAAGTGCTTGAGGCAGGTTGTTTCATTACGGCTTTCAGCGGCTCCTGGCAGCAGACACCATGAACACAGCCATCTCAGATGAGGAAACCAGATCCACGATAAGCAAGGTTACTCGTGGGAGTGGCAGAAGCACTGCCTGACTCAACCAGACCCAGACTCCTGCACATTCACAGGCAGAGAGCAACAGCCCACGACAAGGCATGCCCCGCGTCTGCGGTGGCCCAGGGACACTGCTCCAGGGGAGGGCCACCTTGGCCACCTGAGCTGGGCTGAGCACGATGACAAATGCCTGCGTCTCACCTTGACAGGAAAGCGCTGTTTGCAAACAGAAGGGCTGTACATAAACAGCGTGCAGCCCTGGACTCCAGAGCATGAAATTACATAACAGTCTTCAGCTTCGGGCCTTGCAAAAGGAATAAATCCAGATGATTTTTTAGGAGATGGCTAGCAAGTGACAGGACTGTGTTCCAGTCCAGGCCTTCACCTGCATGTTAACCACCGATGAAGTGAGGCTTTCCTGTGAGAAGCAGGAGAGAAGCTCCTCTCTGTCTCCTGTACCTGCCGATATCCCTCTGACCCAGCATCCCATTCCTGCCGATACCTGCTCTGACCTGGCATCCCATACCTGCCGATATCCCTCTGACCCGGCATCCCATACCCCTCTGACCCGGCACCCCATACCTGCCAATACCCCTCTGACCCGGCACCCCATACCTGCCAATACCCCTCTGACCCGGCACCCCATACCTGCCGATACCCCTCTGACCCGGCATCCCATACCCCTCTGACCCGGCATCCCATACCCCTCTGACCCAGCACCCCATACCTGCCGATACCCCTCTGACCCGGCACCCCATACCCCTCTGACCCGGCACCCCATACCTGCCAATACCCCTCTGACCCGGCACCCCATACCCCTCTGACCCAGCATCCCATACCCCTCTGACCCGGCACCCCATACCTGCCAATACCCCTCTGACCCGGCACCCCATACCTGCCGATACCCCTCTGACCCGGCACCCCATACCCCTCTGACCCGGCATCCCATACCCCTCTGACCCAGCACCCCATACCTGCCGATACCCCTCTGATCTGGCTTCAGGGTGAAGCCTGGGATGTACCAGGCGACACAAGCCAGTTTACATCCCAGAATAGGTGATGTGTGGTTGTAGCCATTTTCCAAAAGTCAGACAACTGGCTCTGCTTGGGGATCATCACTTCTAATTACTGTGTTGACCAGCCCGGTTGCACAGGCTGGAGTTCCCAGGGGGATCTAGCCTCTGTGTCTAAGACCACCTCACACACTCCCTGCCCCCCCTCGTCACCCCCTGCTCAACACTCACTGTGGACAGCTGAGTAACCCGCTGGAGGAAAAGCAGATGGGATTTGGGATAACAGCTGCATTCCAATGTCCTTTTAAAATGTTGCTATAATGCGAAAACCTCATTAAATTTCCAACTGGACAAATAGAAACAGCTGTCAAAAGATAAATGCTTCATTCTTGTCATATTCTAACAATGTTCTATCTTCTTCTGGAAAACAGTTTATTGGTTCCTAGAAGCACTGTAGGCTTGGAAGCTGCTTTTTTGAAAACTGTGTGAGCAAACATATAGGCCTGGGCACCTCGTCGTAAAGCAGGTCATTAGTGGTACCTCTGCCACTCACCAGGAAGAGCAGGTCAGGTTTGCCGACCAGGGCCAGGGCTGTGGAGAGCTTGCGCTTGGTGCCCCCACTGTAGGTGGCCACACGGCTGTCTGCATGGGCTTCGAGGTGCAGGTGCCTCACGAGGTCTCTCGCAACCTACAAGAGAAAAGCTGACCATGAACAGTGCCCCCCTCACTGACTGCTGAGGGTATTCTGGGGTGCAATCAGCAGACAGAACAGCTCCCCCATCCTCCATTGTTCTGCATTTCAAATTAAAAGTGAAGAAACCGTTTACTGATGACGACGGTGGTGAAGGGTTCCTCACTGTTACATACACATCTGACCGTGTTTCTGTCCCTTGACACAAACCTCCACCTAAGCAGCTCTGTCACTTCAGTTGTGCAGGTGCAGGATGATCTAGAAGATGGACTAAGAGGCACTGCTCTGGTGGTTGGATGAGTTAAGTGAAAGCCGACCCCAAGATCTGAGCCACTCGAGAAGATGAAACATGCAGACCCCATCCCCAGGCCAGGAGTCGGCTCCAACTGCCCCATCCCCGGGCCAGAGTCGGCTCCAGCTGCCCTGTCCTGGGCCAGGAGTTGGCTCCAGCTGCCCCATCCCGGGCCAGAGTCGGCTCCAGCTGTCCCATCCCCAGGCCAGAGTCAGCTCCAGCTGCCCTGTCCTGGGCCAGGAGTCGGTTCCAGCTGCCCCATCCCGGGCTGGAGTTGGCTCCAGCTGCCCCATCCCCAGGCCGGAGTCGGCTCCAGCTGCCCCATCCCCGGGCCAGAGTTGGCTCCAGCTGCCCCATCCCCAGGCCAGAGTTGGCTCCAGCTGCCAATGGTGCGTCACCTTCTCCAGCTGCTGAAGAAGTAGCCTTTCCTCTGGCTTCTTTCCAATCAGCAGTTTCAATGACCATAAATGGAACAGAAATCTAAAGACACATGTAAGCGTGTTCAAGCAAAACATTTACTTACACCACGAAGAATATACAAAACAAGACTAGAGGCACCACAACAGTGACAACAGTCTCCAAATTCTCCTCTGAGAGGTGCCAACAACAAGTCTAAAAGCAGCCCCTGGTGGACAGTCACACAGCAGACAGCGGCAGAGGTGGCACCTGTCCCCACACAAGAGAAGGACCCAGGGACACAGTGGACATGATCACCAGTGTCAAACACGACCAGCTGTGCGGCTGGCAGAAGAGAAAAACTAGGAAAATGGTGTTCTTGTTGGAATTTTTATCATCATAAAAACATCATTTTTATTTCCTTCTCATCTACCATAAAGATCGCTGATGCTTAAGTTGATAAGTAAATGAAGTAAAACAGTGGTAGCGAAGCATTCGCTGCCAGGCAGTGTACCTCAGAACGATGGGGCATTCTGAGTAACTCACCAATCACTGCGTATCTTTATGGCCAGGAAACACCTGTCATGCTCCCCCACTTTCACAGAGGCCGAGCGCCACGACCTGTAAGTCCTGGGTGGCCGAGCTGCAGGAAAGGCTCCAGAATGGGCAGCAGCAAAGGGTCCGTTTCATCTGATGCTCTCTGAATGTCACATTTTCAAACAATAACTGAAAACGGTCTAATAGGAAGCATTTTGTTGCTGTCTTTCCTGCACTCGACACCACTGTCAAAATAATGGCAAATGCAATAGAATTGCAGTTATGGCTGGGAAAGTGCTACCTGTGCCTCGAGATGTCGTGCTTTCCTCTCAGAGTTCTAGAAGTTGTACTGTCGCTAAGATGTGAGGCTGGGATTCACAGGTGTTTATGGGCCCAGTGCCTAATCACGTCTAGCACACAGGGCGTTTCTAAGTACCAGAAACAGTATTAATGTATCAAAGCTTATAAACTAAAAATTATTTCTAACAAACAAAATATTGCCTGCAGACTCATATAAGTATCTCCTGATTCCCAAAGTCAAAGTGCTTTCACCAGCCCAAAGACTGACCCCGTCAACATTTCCCTTGAGTTCAAGCTCCAAGTGGAGTGAAGGGGGAGAACCAAAGAATCCACGAGCGAGATGCCTGTGTGACCCTCAATCCCATCTCTCTCGTCTCTTACTTCACAGCTCCTCTGGCATCAGTGACTTGGAGCACAAGGAGGCTTCCAGACACGCTTGTGCAGCATACAATGAGGGGAAGACACAGCCGAGGATTCTCCTGCTAGCCTGGCAAGTCTTCACAAAAGGACAGCTGCGGGCCCCGCCTCCTCCCGGAGGAGAAAACCACAATGCAGAGAGCTGCGGCCTTGGTGGCAGGTGGAAGGGCTGCCCTCTGCTGACCCTGCACATCCTCACCAGCATCCCAGGCTGTGTAGTGTCCAGCCCAGCTCCTGCACCATCTGGTTACGACTTGATACAGCATGTTCTCCAGGTTAATTAGATTCAGGTTCACATCCATACGCCACACCCAGCTGTGTAGTATGAACAATGGAAGGAACTGGAAATCACTGCTTCCACCCAAGGATCCTGCCCCTTCTTCTCGCATAACCGGATGTGTGGATTACAAGGGGAGGAACAAACACGTCACAGGAGTGGTCAGCAACTGGTCAGAGTGGGGCTCAGTGCAAGGCTCGGGCTCTGGGCCTTGCCTGGACTCAGGCATGAGGGTGAGCTGGGATGCTCCCTCCCAGCACGTGAGGTGGGCTCTCTGAACGAAGGACGCCAGGACTGCCAGCGTTGCCATCAGAGAAACTACTTCCTGCAGCCAAGAAGCAACGGAGCAGCTGCAGAAGCACCTTCTGCTCCAGGGGCCCTTCTGAAGACCCTGCTGGGGTCAGAATGGGATTGACCACCAGGCTTGGACCCTAGGGTGGGGGGCCTGTGGAAGGTCATGAGGTCACTGGGGCACAGCCCTTGGACAGGAGAGAAGCAGTTCTTGTGAGGCCTCATTAACTCTAGTGAGAACAGGTCGCGCCTGGGCCTGTGTCCACTCCGGCCTGGCCATGAGCTTGTTCTCATCCTGTAATGCCCCCCGCCGTGAGGCCCTCACCAGATGCGGACAGACACACTCCTGGATGCCCAGGAGCAGAGCTAAGCAGCCTAGGGTACTTCGTTACAGTCACAAGAAATGAATAGTCCCTGGCACAGTCCACTGGATGACAACTCACTAAGAGGAGGAGTTTCATGTGCAAGGAGTCAGCAAAGCCTCACACTCACCAAGTTCTTATCCACGCCAAGTGCTACCCCTTGAATAAGCAAGGGAGATGTTCACATTTCAGTCATGATTGATAACATTGATGGGGGTGGCTGGATCCAGTCATGAGGTTGAGGGGATTGCCTAGGGGGAGTACCACGAGGCTGTGCTGTGGCAGGTGGCTCTTGTGGGAGGGAGGTGAGGAAGTTGGGCAGCTGTTCTCTTCCTCTGCTTCCTGGCTGACCATCTGGTCCTTCTTCTGCATGCGTCCTGCCATCTGCTGCCCTTGCCGGAGACTAGACCAATGGGGCTCTGATCTGAGACTGGGATCCTCTGAAATGCTGAGCCAAAGGAAGCCTGCTGCCTCTCCAAGGAGCTGCTCCCAAGGGACAAAAGGCAGACAAATGCTGCAGCTTTTCAAAAAGATCAGGGAACTAGGAGACCCATTCTAAAGGATGCATGCCTCGTGTCCAGCTCAGTGACTTCAGACAGGTGAGCCTCAGCACTGGGACACGTCACCATCACCCTGCAGGGACTCAGGTTCCTCATTTGTTAAGTGTGAGAAGGTATTCTAGCTGCTTTACATGACCACTCTTAAGATACATGCTGTACCAGGCGAAGAATAAACACTGAGACACCAACCGGCTTTTCTCCCTTTACAGCAGAGGATGCATGGCCCTTCTTAGGTCACTGGGGAGGCGGAGGTGTGCCAGCATGGCCTGCCTGTTCCCAGGCCTCGTGCCCTGTGCCTGTGGCCCACCACACAAGGTCAGGTGTGGGTTTTCATCGGGAGCCCTGTGTTGGCGCTCAAAAGCTGTCAGATTCGGGTGCTTTTCAGATTTATTTTTAAGAATGTTTATCTATCAGAGATATTCAACCTACAACTCCCTCTGGCTACTTTGGAGTTAGCACCTGAAAACGGTGTTCTAACTTTTTGAATGTTGCCTGCACTTCTAAAGGAGGAAAATTTGCCAGGAATGGAGCGCATCCCTGGGAACAAATGAGAAAACACGTCAGTACATGAGAAACCTCCGAGTGAGCACGCTACACCAGTTGCAGTGGAAGGAAATGAAGCCAGCTCCCAACTGGCATGAATTAGAATAGCTCTTCTCGACAGAAGAGCTCATAAAACGACGCCAAGAGACAGCTGGGCATCAGGAGGCACGTGCACTGGGTTCCAGGACGCTCCGTCCCGGCTGCAGTCACGAGAGCCTGCACGCAGAGCCTTGCCAGACAGCGAAGGCTCAGAGCCCGGGCCAGGTTAGCTCTCTAACCGGCACTCATAAGGGAGCTGCCAGAGAGGAACTACAGACTGAGCCACTGGGCTCTCCGTAGCCGTCCATGTGCACGAGGCCGGTGTCCCGTGGGGTCGCCATGGAGCTGCCCTGTCCTGCTAGGGGTCAGGGTCCCTATAGAATGTGACAAGCCTTGTTTCAGTTTCTCTTAAAAGCTGCATGGTATAAATAAGAACAAAGGCTGAAGCATTGCAGCAACAGCACGGAGAATGAATTTCCATGGCCAGTGAAGACAGTGGTGATTCTTTTTGTCTCCTGTGAGTTCCAAGACTTTCCATCTCCTACAGAATCAAATTGAAAATACATCACAGAAGCTTCTGCTTCTACTTCAGAATCCACAGCTCCAGGGAGCTCACCAGATTCTCCACAGTGAGCCGAGAGGGCGAGGCAGCTCTCGCTGCTGGCTGCCTCCCGGGTTGTCCTCCGGCCTGTCCGCCCGGGCTGGTCCTCTTCACTGAACTCCCTCTTGCATGGCGGGTTCCACCCACTTCTCTTCCTCTCACAACGAGGGGGACAAAGGTACAGACCCTGTCTCCCCTCACTTCTGAGGCCACACGGAAGGAACCAACCCCCGGAGCCCCCAGCTCCAGGCTTCTCTCCCCAGGGCGCCAAGGTTACTGTTGGGAAGTGGAAAGGAATCTTTTTTTGTTGTTGTTGTTGCTTACATTGTATTATGTAGTACCGTTTTATAGGCGCTGGGGATTCCCCCCACCCCTCCCATACCCCTCCCCCCATGGTGGATTCCTCCACCTTGTTGCATAACCATAGTTCAAGTTCAGTTGAGATTCATTGCTTGCAAACACATGCCTAGCATTAAGTTCAGCGTCTTATTGTCCAGATAAGTTCAGTGGCCTCCTGGGGAGACCTTCTATGGTCTGAAGATAGGTCTAACAGAGTAAAGATCCGGTCAGTTAAAAGCCCCAACAAGGCCTCAGTATCAATATACAACATTATGGAATTAATTGACATAGTATTGGAAAGGAATCTTGTCATCAAAGCTGAAGGCATTTCGAGCCCTTACGGAGGACGTGCTGACTACGACGTCATCAGTGACGTAGTTTACGGCGTGCGCCTTGCACGAGACTTCACGACATCGACAGCAGAGTGGACTTCACCACACTCCCCCTGCACAGCCACCGCGGGGAACACCTTTCAGGTGAGTTGCTCGGGGCGTGGGCTCCCTGCACGCTGGCCTTCCTCAGGGACACTCACCTCGGGGATGCGCTGCCTGGGGATCCCGCGCAGGCTGCAGTAGTAGTCCAGATGCTCACGACCCGTCAGGAGCCCATCCAGGGCGTCCTGCTGCGGACAGTAGCCGATGAGGACGCCGGCTTCGCGGGCACAGGACAGAGGCACAAGGGCTCTGCGGGGAGGGAGGCAGGCTGAAAACAACCCACCAAGCAAGACGGTCCCAACTCGCCTGCATGTCCACTGAATCCATGCACGAGCCGTACCGGGGCCTGGATACCCCACCCCAAATGTGCATCTTTGGCTGCTGGATGCGATGCTTTGAAATAAAGCTGCTGAGAGCTAGCCCATGCAGGAGAAGCTCCCAACTTGCCTATCACTGAGTAAGAGCAGACAGGCCTGCTGACAGGAGCAGGCCTGTTGGTCAGGACGTTTCAGATTAGAGAGCTGCTCTCACAAAGAACCCCCATCCCCCGGGACATGTCTCTGCCAGGAGACAGCCCTTACCCACTCTCCACCCGACTCTCCCCTCCACCGCCCAGGCCTGCCTCCCTGCTCGGAGCCAAAGCCCCTTCCCTGCACTGAGACCAAAGTGGTGACCCAGACCCATCAGAAGTCACACAGGCCAGAAAGCCACAAACAGGGCCTGAGTGCTGAGGATTCCACGTCCAGCAAGGGAGGTGGGCCATAAAGCCATCCACAGGTACACAATATATGGGTGTGTTGCCAGAACTGCCACACAAGAAATATTCAAAGAAGTTCAAGGTGAAAAGGAAATACACTAACTTGAATAGCAACAACAAAGTGTAGTGCGAGTTGAGGTGACTACACAGCAAGTTTAAATGACTGGATAAAAGTATGACTTTCATAAGCCTCTGCCTGCGGCGCTGGCATCTTCATATCCCGGCTGTTCCACTTCCATCCAGCTCCCTGCTTGTGACCTGGGAAAGCAGTGGAGGATGGTCCAAAGCCTTGGAACTCTACACCTGTGTGGGAAACGTTGAAGAAGCTCCAGGCTTTGGATCGGCCAGCTCTGGCCACAGGGGCTTTTTGGAAAGTAAGCAAGCAGATGAAAGATCTCTGTCTTTCCTCGTCTCTGTCTTTAAACAGTTTGATTTTCTGTGCTCATTTTTGCTCTGCATTATTTTAATGCATCTCCGTCACAGGGTAATCATGCAACCTCATGATCTCATGATCTATAAAGTTGTAATTTGTGGCCCCACACATAGAGGGATGGAGTTAAGAGAAGATTTTTATGAAGTTGCTGTTAATACGAACGAACGATTTTAAACCAAGATGTTGACTGTAGTTTCCAAGGAAACTTGTAACACACTTGATCAAAAAGTGAATCGGTGTTCAAGAACAATATGTACTTATGGTGGCGATGGAAGAAAAAGGGAATAAAAAACATAAGACATATAAAAAGGGCAAAGAGTTAGTTTTAAATCTTATATCAGTAATTACATTAAATACAAATGAAACACTTCAAATAAAAGCTGAGACTGACAGAAATTTTTAATGATACAATTGCAGGTTATCTACAAAGCACAGACTTTTTAAAAAGTCACAGATGGATGTGAGTATAAAAAGATGGGAGAAATATGATTCAAGTGGTGTTCCAACAGGAGCTCTGGGCAGCTCTCCACATCAAATGTGGAAGAAAGATGCCATCACTAAAGGAAACATTTTATAACAATGAAAGATCAGATTCTTAGAAAGATAGAATTCTAGAAGTTTTTCATTTGAACAGAAAGCTTTACAAAACAGTGCAAAGGCTAAGACTGAACAGAGAAAAAGCGACAGAAGAGTAACAGGCAGTCCACCGTGCCACGTTCAGTAACACATGACCAGAAGATCAACAGAATGTAAGGGACCAAACAGCGCAGGAAGCGAACCAGACACGACAGGCTGCAGAGCCCGTGACGCTCCACCCACAATCTTCTCACACGCACAGCAATGCTCTCCAGGGTAGAACGTGTGCATGGCCATAACAACATTCCACAAGATTAAAAGGACTGAAATCACAAAAAGATGGTCCTGTTTACGGTGCGGTAAGCCTAGCGATGAATAACAGAGGCACACCTGGGGAAATCGCGAACGTGGAAATTAAAGCGTGCACGCCTATGTAATCACTGCGCAAAAGGAAGCAAAGAGAATGAAAAGCTAGCTGGAGCTAAACGCAATGTAACAAAGCTCGTGATGCTGATGGAGGAACGCATCTGAGAATGTGTGCCCTGTACGTCTCTACAGAAGAGATCTCAGAGCAGTAACAACCATTTCCCAAGTTCACTCAGCAGAATCCCACGTCAGAGACTACCTGCACAACAGAGCCTCACCACGAGCAGGTGGAACGGATCCCAGCATGCAGGAGGGCTGACCGTGTGGAATTCATTATGTTCTACAATAATTGAGGAAAAATTGAAAACCATGCCATACCTCAGGGTAAGCGGGTTCCACTGTGTGAAGTTGTTTATAGGCAAAGCTACAGAGACAACAGGTAGCCTTGTGGTTGCCAAAGTTGGGGAGAGGCCAGCAACAGGGCGTAACTTTGGCATGGAGCTGCTTTCAAAGTGATGGGAATCTTTTCTGGAAATCAATGGTGGGAATGGTCATGCAACAATGGCTTAAAACTACTAAATATTTACACTCTACAATGTGAATGTGCATGGTCTGTATCAATTAACCAAGCATGGTATCAAACAGCTGCACATAAACATTCAGTAGGGAATTAACTATATTTCTTCATACATGCACTTAGCAAGTGTTCAAAGTCAGTATTGCTTAATATTCATGAAAATGAACAGGTGATTCAACCCAAAACAAACAGAAGCTTCCTATAAGACACTGGAACAGAGGCCAGCCCAAGAGGCAAGGCATTGCACGGTTCCATTATACAGGACTGGCAGGCACAGCCGACACCTATGCTCAGACCAGCCACACAGTGGCCCCCAGACATGGTGGGTTAAATGGGATAAAAATCAACACATACATGTGTTATCTGCAGGCATCACATATCCAGCCTTAAACATTAAAACACTCATATTTTAAAAGTTGTTTCTCTGTGTGTGTGTTAACATGTTATCCAACACAATTTCTAACCTGCAAGTTTTATCTGCATGTTGCTGGAATGAATGCCCAGCCCAAGAGAATGGTCCCCTCCCAACACTCCTCAATTTCAACTGTCTCTTGGAGAGCTTAGAAATACATATTTAAGCGCTCTCTGCCATTCAAAAACAGGGCATATTTATTCTAAGTAGACTTCTCTCCATTCAGTGACCCTGCCTGTCCATGACACATGGTCCACACCTGGTCCTTTCTAGTTGGCATCTTCAAACGTCAGAACACAGAAATACATCAGCACGGCCCTGGAGCAGACTGTCGCTGGAAGGAGGCCAAATGCCACTGAGGCTCTGGAGTCCACGGCACCTGACCTGGAAGAAGATGAGCTCCTTGAGATAAATCCAACCTGTCTGACATCACAAACTCCTTGGCCAAACCACGCTCAACCGTGGCTACGTTATTAGAAGATGCTCACAGCCACTGGATAATTCAAAGTTTCTGCAAGCCAGCCTATTCAATCTAAGGTGAAGGTCCGAGGACCCTGTTTACTTTGGGCTTCAGCTCTCTCGGACAAACAAGACACTCATTGTTTAGTCCTGATACTGACAAAACAACGCCCTCCAGTGGCTTTTACTACCATGCATTTGTCTAGCTGTTTCTTCTTTATTGAACAACGGAACAGATCGAGACAATCTGGCCTTGGAACTTAAACAAAAAACTTGGAACCCTCTGTGTGGTCTTTGCCAGACCAAGATGTTCTCACTTGAGGCATTAATTTCCTGTGTATTATCAGCAATCTGTAAACTGTCAAGAAGGAGCTGGAGTGCCAGGGAACGTCACTGTGCCAGGTTTGATCTGCTTTCCAGGCTGCACTTTCATCTCTCTTGCTTTTCCACCTGCTTACATCTCTGTTCCATTCTGCACACTTCTCTGCAGTTACCCCCAAACTCACCATCCATCCTATGGCGAGGAGATGAGACCCTAGTAACAGGATTACCTACTGTATTGGAGTGAAGACCTCAGCCTCCTCAAAGAGAGCCAACTGGACGGACGAGCTCCTGAGCTATGGCCCAAATCCCAGCTCTGTAACCTAAACTGCATGCTCCATGACAGCCGTCCCTCGTCTCCATGAGAGTCATCCCTCCCTCGTCTCCATAGTGCTTAGCTGCTTAAACATGGATCAAGAACATGTTTCACTTCCTTTTTCAAAGCTGGAGTAAGTTCATACCCCAAATGAGGCCAACACAGCTGCAGCCACATCCACGCCCACACCCCTGACTTTATCATCTCATTCAAAGGGTACTTCTGGTGGCATCTAAATCTAACAATACACACAGCAGCACAAGACACAATCACTCCGTCAGAAGTGCTCACTTTTAACTCCTTGTACACATTGGGGACAGAAGCCACAGCCCAGGTAAGTAACAGCCCTGAAAAATGGTGAAGTCACACGGGATTCCGTTCTCTTTCCTACCTGCCATTAAAAGGTTATTAATTTCTGACAACAAAATTGCTCCTTCATTGACAAATAAGGCTGTTGCCAAGCCTCCTACTGAGCTCATGCAAGAAGGAGCTAAACCACTACCCCAGGTTGTTCTCAAAGGGCAGTGGAGCTCAGGTCTTTCGCCTACCCACGTCACCCGGGCTCTCCACTGAATGGGTCCTTCACTTGGATGCCATTCACTTACAGCTTAGGCTGACTTGTAGAAAATTCCCAGAAAGGAAGGGCTCCAAGACAGTTCCTCAACATCCTTTTACCAATTCAACGCTCCCTGCAAGCAGTCTTTAAGAAGGTTTTTGTTTGTTTGTTTTTGGCCTTAGTTTCTCACTTTCTTAAGTGCCCACCGTCATCACAGGATTCATGTGAGCAGTGACTGTGAAGTGTTACAACACCCTCAAATGCTAAGTTCTACCCTCAAATGCTAAGTTTAGCACTAGGAATGTGCATGCAGATTACTTGTTTAGGATTAACCAATGCAATGCCAGTATAAAAAGACATCAGGCTCATTGATCTTCCCTTTGACTGGCACGGATCACACATTAAAATCATTTATATTATTATGGCATCAGAAGCTAGGATCCATTTGACTAAATCTTTCCTCCTGTTTAAATAAC